AAAAATTTTGAAGTTGGAAACTTAAGTTATAAGTTGAGAATTTTACAATGTTAGATAATAATAGTTTATATATATTTTTTAAATGAGTTATTTGGGTAGAGAAAAATTGTTATTTGAAGTAAGAATTTTTGGGTAGTAAATATATGTATATATATTAATAATAATAAATCCTATGTAATTTAAGTTAGTTATTTGTATGTATATTAAATTGCATCCACATTATTTGTAGATTATCTTGTACTTCAGAGTCTGTAATTTGTGCTCTTATTTCTTAAGCTATGAGATTAAGCTTGGAGTAGAGGTAACTAGGGTTAATTTATTTTCTATACGTGCTTTGCATTGTAAGGTGTTTATTTTGTTTTTATTTTCTCAAATTAATCTGTAAAAGTATGCTTGTGAACAAAATATGTATTTTCTTATATGACAAATTTTGATGAAGTAGGAAGTATGTTGATTTAATTATGCTGGAGTTGTGTTTTATTTGAAATTATGTTTTCTTGTGGTGTTGAATTTAATATACCAATATTATGATTAAATAAAATGAAAATATGTTGTATTTTGTTTGAAATTATATCATATTACTTTGAAGAACTATGATATTTTTAACATATTGTGACTATGCACAGGGTTCATATGTGGAGGTTGGGATTTTCTTATACGGAGGATAATTGTTCTTGAAACCTGTATGGTATACCTACACTACGGATCTTAGTGTTTGGCCTTTGTGTTAGATCCTTGTAGTTCTTCCTTTTCCTTGGCCCGGAATTGAGAATGAACTCTTGGGTAGACACCTCTTGCACCACAGTCCATTCTTGGGCGATGTATGTCACACCTTACTATAATATTGACTTAGGTTCTTTTCAAAATCATTTTTGACCATATTGGATGGTCTTGGGCTCACTTTTTACCATAAAAACACTAATTTTTGGGTTTTTACTGTTCATCGGGTAAAAATCTAATTTTTCTGGCCCAACTTCAAAAATTCATAACTTATTCTAAAAAAATCCAATTGGGGTGGTTCAAAATTCTACTTAAAGATATTTAAGTTCTCTTTCAAGGAAAAATAATCTCATTGTCCAATTCTTTATGAGAAAGCGTCGGGTTTTTGAGAAAACAACACTGTCTATTTGCCAAAAACCCTGATGTCCAGATTCTGACCATTAACTTTAAAAAATCATTATAAATCGTATACTGGGCCATTTTTAACGTATTAGCTATCAATTTGAAGCTCAGGATGTCATATTTCATCATACCAAATTTCATGATCTAACGCATTCAGTAACATAATCAAAAAGTCACGTGAACCGGTCAGGGTCAGTGTGCTTCCAGCACTGTTAGTTTAATATGTACATGACCAAAATATTATCACGAAATTTTGTGGCTAAACTCCACAAATCAACCTTCAATCTGCAGCTTCCCCTTGGAGGATTCAGGTCCTAAAATGTTACATTATTTTTGGGGGATGAGATTTTTGAAAATCCCAGTAGCAAATTAACCAACTATAACACCAAGCAAGCATCATTATTATGCATGATCATATTAGCTACTATTGGTGAACTAACATGCTTATCATTTGGCAAACTCAAACATGCAAAGGCCAAAGCAAGATACTATAAAGAGCAGCCATATAACAATCAAGAAAGCTCAACCACAATAATAGTAATTAACCATACAATAATCAACAATGCTAGTTAGTGGTAGTAGCTAGTTTTAACTTACTACCTTGTTCCAAAAGTCTTAGCCTTTCTTCCTTCTCCTCTTTCCCTTGGCAAATATCAAACCCTAACTATGTGATCCAACAAAAATGGCAGCAAGAATCATTATCCAACCATGAAAAAGCAAGAACATATATCAAAATGATTCTTGAACCATAAAGTTCCCTCCTTTGTTCACTAGTTTTAGATTTGGTTCTCTTTAACCCTAAAAATCACTCCTTAACTTGTTCCTACATGGATTTTCATGTAGATTTCAAAAATGGCTTAGATTTATGAAAATAAATTTGCTTCTTCCAGCCACACCTTGACCAAACCACTAGAGGTTTTGACCCAAAATTTTCAGCTTTGCTTTTAAGCTTCCAACACTTGTTTCTTCTAGTCTATCCTACACCATTCCTCATTTTAAGCATCATGGAAGCCTTAAAACAATGGAAAGCTCATCCTAGGGTCCGGTTCTTCACTTGGCCGAAAATAACTCTCACAACAACAACCATGAAAAAATGCTTTAAAATCACTTAAACTCACTTGCCAACACTAGGATCTAGCTTGTGTTGTTGTGTCTTAGCAATTGTTATGATCAAAACTTCTTTCCCCTTTTTATTAATCAGTTCAGTCCACATTAAGAGAGGGAAGAGACAGATTTTAAACCATAAAAATGAAAGAAAACAAAGTAAGAACACCTCTAGTACCAAGATCTAACCTTGGAACTTGCTTGAATGACCAAAGGTGCTCCCTTTCTTCTTGTTTTCTCTCAAACTCTCTCTTTTTCTCCTATTTTCTCCCTTGCACGACTTGAACATCTGAAAATGGGGAGAGAAGAGCTTGATTAATGCTTCAAAATATCCGAACCACCTTCTTTAATGATAGTCCAAGTGTCATTACCCCACTAAGTCTTGATTCCTCTTTCCTAATTAACATAATTCCAAATGAAATTAATTACTAAAGTCAAAATCCTCTCCATTTATGGAATGACACTTGGCTAATTCAAATCTTCTCCTTCAAGAGCTTGACACATGGCTCAATAGGATCCCTTGGATTTGCAAGACACCAATCTTGCTTTATCGGTATACTTTAGGCTCTGAGTTTAACTTCTTTTCTATAATTACAGTGACTTAGTCTCTGTAATTATTTTCTATCAGATCCTTAATTTATTCTCCTCATTATTATCTTCCCAAATTGCCCTCTTTGTCTCAAAATTAATTTCCTAATATTTAAATAAAAAGGAAAATTAATTTCCTTCTCTTTAGGGATTTTTCCACTTTTCACATTTATTTGGAAAAATCTTGGACACTTGAGGGTTTCCATTTAATTCCATAATTCCTTATAATTCCTTAGGATCCCATAGGAATTTTCTTGGAATTTTATTCCCCTTAAAAATATTTATTTGGAATTTTCCAAATAAAATCCCTTCATTAGTCTAAATCACCCTTTAATTCTCTCATAATTTCTCTAAGGGTAATTTGGTCATAAAACCAACTTTATAATTTCATATAACTCTCAAAAGATATCATCCTCATCTTTCCGAAATTTTCCAAGGCTCGAAAATATTTTTCCTTATTTACATTTGACCGATTTTCTTTAATTAGTCAATTTCCTATAATTGGCTTGGAAAATTACTGTAATTATTTTCCACCAAAATTCCTTGACTTTTCCTTATTATTTTTAATCCTCAATAATTTGAGAATATTTCTTATCTCTAATTATCATAATGCTGGATGTGACAGGTGGTAATGAGTTAAACCCTAATAACATAAGGCAAAATGAACCAACTGGGGGCAATGGATTGAATGGTAATGGACATGAGGGAGCCGGTAAGAATATAGGATTTAATAGTACTAATAGACCACAAAGAGGGAGAACCATTAAAGATCTTACTCAGTCCGATGTAAATTTTGAACCTTTGCTTAGTGCTTTGCCTGTCTTTGAAAATGATTTTGAACTCAAAGGTCAATTAATACACTCACTTCCTAAGTTCAATAGTTTGTCAGGTGAAAATCCATACACTTATTTGAAGTATCTTCATATATAATGCTCGTCTATAAAGCCAGCAAGGGTGAGGTGAGGATTAAAGATGTGCTTTGGAAGGTTTTTCACCTATCTCTTGAAGGGAAAGCCAAGGAGTAGTATATGAATCTGCATTATATGTAGACAACCCATATGAATCTTGGACTATACTAAAGAGAGCTTTTCTTGATAAATACTTCCTATCTACTAAGATCTCCACTGCTAAAAAGGAGATATCTTCTACTAAGCAAAAGGAAGGAGAAACTTTCTTTCAATTCTGGAGTCGATTCCAAGATATATTTACCAAGTGCCTGAACCACCAGATTATTGAGGAGCACCTTGTTCAGTAGTTCTATAATGGGTTGTTGCCACATGATGTTGAAGTATTAGATGCTACAACTAACGGATCAGCTAAGTTAATAGAGCCACAAGCTGCTTGGGCCTTAATTCGCACCTTTGCCTTGAACCGCTAACATGTGAGCCCTATAAATGCTAGAGGGTATAAGGGAGATAGGGATCCACTTCTTGTCAAACTAGCCCAAGACATGGCTAAATTAGCATCCACAATTCAGAATCTAAGGAGCAACCAACCTCATACTGAACCTCTAGCCTTGGTCACTGCTTCTTGCAGCATATGTGACTCCCTAATGCATAAAACTGAAGATTATATCAGTCCCATTGAAAATGTATCTGCTATGTATCAACACAGGTCAAACCAACACCGAAAATGGGATCCACATTCTAATACTTACAACCCCAAGTGAAAGGATTACCCTAACTTCAAGTGTGGGGATGATAGAAGTGATGGGATGAAAATAGGGTTTCTAAAGGTTTAAAGGGTCCAACTGGGTCAGATCATTTGAGTAGATGCTCCATTTTTGCATTCTGACTTGAATATGACTTTGTTGATATGAGGCATTTTGCCGTAGCGAACGAATATCTTAACCGCGGTGAAACAAAACATTCCCAAGAGGTTTATGGTGAAATTCATGGTTATCAAAACGAGATACGAATCGTGAATCAGAAAGCCGATTTTTTGAATCTTGAATCGTAACGTATCGTGAATCGTAAGATTCATGAATAACTATTAAAGATGATATATAAGTAATTTTTATATAAAAAGATATGAAAAGTTTGTAAATATTAGTTATTTTAGACTCTAAAAAAAAATAAAAAAACCAACATATGAAATTCTAAAGACAAATAGTCCTCAAAATCAATTCACAAAATCAAAATCCTAGCTTAAAAAGACTAAAATCACTGAACATAAAATTCAATTCTTCATTCATCATCTCCAAGATCAATGTCACTCAATTCATGATCATCCTCCATTAACAATGTCACTTCTTCATCATCCTCCTCTTCCCCATCTTCAGCATCATCTTCATTCTCATTCTCTTGTCTTACTATAGATTTTCCTTTGTTATTGGCTTTGGCATTCAAGTATCTTGGACCTATGGGAAAAAAAACTTAATAAGTATGATGGTATATATTTAAACTAAAAATTAACTTAAGTTTAGCTTTGAAATATTATACCTCTCTTTCTTTTCTTACTCAGAGCTCCTTCATCAAGAGTAAAACTCTCATGTATGTCCATCCATGACCCGTCCACTGGCAAGCATGGATTTTCTTTTTCAGTGATCCACTCATCATCAGATTCAATATCTGATAAACAGATTGGATCATATGTCTCGCCTTTTTCCTCTCTAATCTTCTGTCTCATCTCAAGTTGAAGGTTGTACTTGACAAATACAAGTGCATTTAACCTTTGTTGTTCTAAACGATTTCTTCGCTTAGTATGCACTTGATCAAATGTGCTCCAATTTCTTTCACATCTAGTAGCACTACACGTGAGACTCAAAATCCTCATAGCTATCTTTTGCAACTCCTTGCCCTCTCCTCCATAACTTTCCCACCAAAGAGCTAAAAAAAGATACAATAATGAGAAATGATTTCAAAAATTCATATTTATTATTAAGATTAAAAATTACAGTCTTCTAAATAGAATAGACTATAGAGTATAGACTAGAGAATGGTACCAGGTTGCTTTTTGTTTCTAGTATCTATTGCCATGCTCCTTCCAAAAAGCCCCTTAGCAGACTTAAATGCTTCAAGTTGTTGATCAACTAATAATCTTGTCTTTCTATCCGGAATCATTCTCTCGATAGTTTCATATAAACCAAAATAAACTTCCTGGTCCGCATTAAATTTTTCATCATAATGAAACCTACGAAAATAACAAATAAGTTATGTTTTTCCAAGTTCTAACATACAATTAAACACTAATATTTAAATTTTAAAGTGTATAAAACTTACTTAGGATTAAGAAAGTAGGCAGCCGCATGGAGGGATCTATGTAATTGCAAAGTCCAACGAATATCAATGGTCTTCCATGTTTTTTTATACCTTGATTCCTTCTTTTCAAAATTGTCAGCAATCTCTTCTTTGGCTTTGTCCATTGCTTCATAAATATATGGCATAGCAGGTTTAGAGTCACCATCTACAAGTCTTAAAACTTTTACAAGTGGACTCATACACTTTAAGCAATATTTGATGGAACTCCAAAATCTAGAATCCCCAAAAACCATGTCCACCACTTGCTTGTCATCACTTTTACTAGCAAAAGTACTAGAAATCCAATCATCTGAAGCAAACATGGTTCGAAGAGCATTTTTTTGTTGCAATATACAACTTAGTGTAAGATAAGCTGTTGCAAACCTTGTCACTGCTGGTCTAGCTAATTCTTTTCCTTTAGAATACTTTCTATACAAGTTAAGAACCCATGTATGCCTATAAATGAAGGTTGTTATTTTCTTTGCATTGGTGATGGTATTATAAAATACTGGAAGTTGCCCAATGTCTTCAAGGATTAAATCAAGACAGTGTGCTGCACAAGGGGACCAAAATAATTTTGTTCTCTTCTCTTCTAACATCTTCCCTGCTGCCACGAGATTTGACGCACCATCTGTCACAACTTGCACCACATTATCCTCCCCAATTTCCTCAACTAGATTGTCTAGTAATTCAAACATTTGTTTAGCATCCTTAATCACACTACTTGTATCCACTGACTTTAGAAAAACTGTTCCACTAGGACTGTTAACTAAAAAATTAGTAAGAGACCTTCCTTTACCATCAGTCCAACCATCACACATCAAGGTACAGCCCCATTTCTCCCATTCCTTCTTATACTTTGCTAAACTTTCTTGAATTTTATCAATTGCTTTTTTCAAGTGAGAAACTCTCACCTCATGATAACTTGGAGGTTTCAAACCCCTACCATATTCACCAACAGATTTTAACATTTGACTGAATAGTGGACTTCTCACCAAATTAAATGATAAAGCATTACCATAGATGCATTTACAAATATCTTGAATTACTAACTCTCTATCTTTAACCATCTCATTCATTGTTTTCTGTTTGGTAGTTTTTGATGTCCCTTCCTTTCCCTTAGCATCTTGAGTAGTTGCCTCTTCAAATATTTCAACACTACTGGCATCTTTACTTTTTTCTCTATTTTCTAACATTTTAACAAACAACTTTTTCACTTCATCAGGAACACTTGTACAAGGACTCACATTCTCTCTAGTTCCAGCCAAATGATGTTTCATCCTAGCTACCCTACCCCAACATTGATGTGAACAGTATTTGCATTTAACCATAAGTCTATGGGGAGGAACACTTTCACAGTGATTCCATGTAATATCAGTTTCCTTTTTTTTCTTATTCTGATTCTGACTCATTTTTCCTACCTTCACAAATATAATATCCAATAGAA